TTCATGCTGCTTCCTCACAAATGTCAGACCAACCAGACAAGCGCGTGTTTGCTATGACATAATGATTGATTTAATCAACTCTCATGACAAGTATAGGTTTCTTGGGACCAATTATCTGGCTGAATAAGTCTCAGAACACCAGCCTCTCAGACACAGTTATAATCTGATCAGAATCAGAAAGTGATCAGAAAGTGATCAGAAAGAAGAAATATATTTCATGTGGCCTTGTAACAGCCACTTATATATTCCTGTTTGATTAATAGTAAAAAGACATATTTCCTAAAATATTTGATTGATTGATTGTTGTTTAACGTCGGACTCAGCATTATTCCAGCTATATGATGGTGGTCTGTAAATAATCAGGTCTTTACCAGACAAACCAGTGATTGACATCATGAGCATCGATCCACCCAATTGGGATACATGACAAGCATCAACATAGTCAGCGAGCCTGACCACCTGATCTCGTTAGTAGCTTCTTACGACAAGCATAGTCGCCTTTTACGGCAAGCATGGGTTGCTGAAGACGTTTCCTAAAATAATTGTATGGCACCTTAATCTGACACAAAATAATTTAGGTACATACTTTATAAACTACTTCTTGAAGAGAACAGAGTATTCAAACGGTACTTTCAATTGGATCCAACCTATGATAAGGTTATTACTTGTCACATGACACTACCACCGTGTTAATCATTTATAGTTATTGAACAGATCGAAATACAAGGTTCTAGGAAGCTACTTCGAGACAGCAATTTACATGAAAAAATATTTTTCGATCTTAAAAAGGCAATTAAAATTTGATACCAATATGTTATGTGAAACACATCTAGTACACTAAACAATAATAAACATGAAAATAAACAAGAGTGACCATGATCAAAGGAATAGTTCAGGATTAGGTTTATTGGCGCAATCTTGACTGAAACACAATTCTAAGTCTTGGAGCTAAAGACAAGCATTTGTAACTGGATATACCAAATAATCCCACGTATTGTGTGATTTCGTCCAATCTCCGACTATGTAGGCGATCAAACATAATGACAGTCACGTTATCTCTCATTCTTGCATGTTCAGGGAAATTAGGGTTTTGTTTGATGTTTGCCGATAGATCACTGATTAAATATATTCCCGATGTAATAATATTGTTCAAAGGAAACTGTCACTGTTTTATTTCCATTGAACTCAAGCTTGTATATTTATAGTGTCTTTGACAATACTGACTAAATTATCAACAGGCATTTCATAATGACTTCTTGGGAATATGAAAGTAAAACATGACTACTAAAGACGGACAAGTAAATTCAAAGTTCCTTAGTTGTTGTTTTTTAACTGCGTCCCTGAAATGTCTATTGCATCTGTATCTGTGTACTTGTTATGTTGAGAACAAGGCTTCAAGACTGATTCCCTTGCTAGGGCAACAAATCAAAAATAAACCTTGTAACTACAGTAACCTGATTGACTTAACACTTCACTTGCGACATTCCAAGGTCTATAACTAGCTGTCAAGACAGACATAGAAACAAAGTATTGTGTCACCAGGCACACATTTACAGCCAGAAGTCTTGTCAAACCTCATGTTTCAACATCAGTAAGGACAAATAGGGTCTGACATCGTGTTATTCAACTTAAATAGTACAATATGAATACATGTGTCTGCTGTACCGGTGCTGGCCTGCCGAGACACCAGTTTAACATGGATAACCCCCCACCCACCCACTTTAATGTGGAGCACAAGGCTGGTTAACAACAAGTACCATCCTTTTAATGTCTGTTGGTATGCTGAGGCTGTAACGATAGACATTACAGTGAGCATGGTTTTATGCCGCTTTTAGCAATATTCCAGCATTATCACGGCGGGGGACAGAAGAAATGGGGGACAGAAGAAATGGGCTTCACACATTGTACCCATGCTTGGAATTGAACACGGGTCTTCAGCGTGACGAGCGAACACTTTAACCACTAGGCTACCCGACTGCCCCGATAGACATTAAAAGATCCGTTGGTGCTCGGCATTAATTGGATGAAACACCACCTGGTGTCAGTATCTCGTGTAGAATGTGAGTGGGGTATCTACCAGCAGGCACCTACAGCCCAATGTATATACTACATAGTAAGTACAGTATACAGTTCTCTTAATATTATTCTATACTTGAAATGTCCACATAAAACTATATCCACATAAGCAGAGCTACAGATAAGCTTGAAATATGTAAAATACCACTCAAAACTAATCAAAATCCAATTACTTTCAAATAACTTGCGTACAGAAACGCATGCAATAAATGGAAAACTCAATTGTTTGAAAACAGCAAGGGTAAATACCCAATGAAGCTTTTTCAACATGCGTACAATGGAGCTAATTTCCGAAACACAATTACGAGCTAATTTACTTTCCGAGTCAAGCCCATATTTATGAACCGTTATTTCATTTTTTTTAAAATATCAAAATGCTTACTCATTTTGGGAAAAACTCAATAGATGAATAGATGAATGAAAAAATATTGGTTACCCAATGAAAAATGTAATAACCCAATTAAAATAGAAACCTTTGAGTAAAAACTCAATTGCTAAAAAACCTATCTGGAGCTCTGCATTAAACTTGATTAGACTACTGAAAAGATGTAGAAAAATACACAAATCCTCACATTCCCAGACGTGTACATCATGAACTCCCAAACAATAGTGAGTGAGTGAGTTGGGTTTAATGCCGGTCCTAACAGTATTCCAGATATATCATGGCATGTTAGCTTGATGTGGGAGGAAAGCCCAAAGTGATGCAGGTCTTAGACGTCTACCACTTTGGTGAAACCCACGAGCACAGGTATGGTGCTGACAAACATAATCGGGGTGAACAGTGATTCAAACTCACATTCATAGTTTTCTGGCGTGCCTAAGGGGGGCTACTTTGCACAGCGAATTGCGCGCCTTAGATGACTTGGCTACCCCCCAAACAATAATATTGGCACTGCAGCCATAATAAATCTAAGTTGTGTACTCCGATTGTTAGTCCTTACTTCAACTGATTTGAAATACATATACACATTTCTCTCTGGACCCGTGAAGATTCCAGGGTAGAATAGGTCTTCAGCAACCCGTAAAAGGCGATTATGCTTGTCGTAAGAGGTGACTAACGGGATCAGGTGGTCAGGCTCGCTGGCTTGGTTGATGCATGTCATTGATCCCAATTGTGTGGATCGATGCTCATGATATTAATCACTGGATTGTCTGGTCCAGACTCGATTATTAACAGACTGCCGTCATATAGCTGGAATATTGCTGAGTGCAGCGTTCAACAACCAACCAACCAACATTTCTCTATGATTAGAGTGAGTGAACAGTGGCTTATGCCACCATCAGCATTATTGTATCTATAGCCTATGTCAAGCCTCCTTGTGCACCTTCCAATCCCCACGTGGCGAGACATCTTACAATATATAATGGTCTTTATTAACATTTTGCCTCATAAAGGTGATAACGTTGTCTGAGTATTTAATACTTGGGGCATGAAACAGCTCAACTTTACTTCTCTCTACCTACCCAAATATTCTGTTGAGGATGATAAGAAATGCATTGACATCCTTGCACAAATACTGTGAGTACGTGGGAACAGAAATATGTGCTAATATCCCCTGGAACTTGAGCACCTCATCAGTAACCCTCAGAAATAACTGTACGCAAGGTGGATAATACACAGATAGTTGAACAATGTGCAACACCTTCTTGTTTACCAAGAAACAACAGTTTCTGTTTAAACCCTCTCCTCTTTCCAATATTCAGTCAGTAAATATTTGCAAAATATATACCCAGCTTTCCCTGTGAATACTTTGTATGAAGTCCTAGCAGCAGGTTTGATTTTTGTCCCTGGTTTTGTGCACACATAGATTTCTTCTTTATTGATCATTGAAAGACAAACTAATTCTTGGGTCCCCACAGTACTGGTACAGTGGAATGCTGTACCACAAGTCTCCTACAGATGGCGCCACTGGTTCATACAGGAAGCAACCCTGTAGTACTGCAGTAAATAGCCAACCCAGTTCTTCTGATTATTTGGTCTGGGAAACATGGAAAACTTTCTAAATCATCACTAGAAATGATTAATTCCTTGTTTTTCAGATGTTTTTGATTAATGTAACAAGGATGAATGTTTTTAATTACTTCATGATTTTTCCAGTTGTTAATAGATATGAGAGTTTATGGAATAAGAATTGTTTATCACACTAAAGATGTTTATGTTCATTTTCATTTCAGGCTGGCTAAAATGAGATGTGATGAGCAGGATGTAAATGACAAAAAATTAACATATTTCCATGACACTGAAGGTGAACGTCACTCAGTCGTGTTGTCACAGAGGTTTGTTGTTTGGTTTGTTTGTTGCCAACCCAGTTCTTCTGATTATTTGGTCTGGGAAACATGGAAAACTTTCTAAATCATCACTAGAAATTATTAATTCCTAGGATGAATGTTTTTAATTACTTCATGATTTTTCCAGTTGTTAATAGATGTGAGGGATTATGGAATAAGAATTGTTTATCACACTAAAGATGTTTATGTTCATTTTCATTTCAGGCTGGCTAAAATGAGATGTGATGAGCAGGATGTAAATGACAAAAAATCAACATATTTCCATGACACTGAAGGTGAACGTCACTCAGTCGTGTTGTCACAGAGGTTTGTTGTTTGGTTTGTTTGTTGTTTAACGCCGCACTCAGCAATATTCCAGCTATATGACGGCAGTCTATAAATAATCGAGTCTGGACCAGACAATCCAGTGATTGACATCACGAGCATCGATCCACGCAATTGGGATGGATGACATGCATCAACCAAGTCAGCGAGCCTGACCAACCGATCCCGTTAGTCACCTTTTACGACAAGCATAGTCGCCTTTTACGGCAAGCATGGGTTGCTGAAGACCTATTCTACCCCGGAATCACAGATTGTCAGGGTAAGATACAGTGTACATTGACATGGTGTTATGGACAACAGGAAGCACTCACTGATGATGTAGCCAACGGTGCAGTCATCAGGAAGACGGATTTTGTCGCCAACAGTCATCAAACGACCTCCGCTGAAATTAATTCACAATTTGATAGTGTGAACAAGTCTACATAAGATACAGAGGTTTCAACCGCAACCATTTCTGTGGTCAATTAAAATGCATGCTACTAGCTATTTCATGCATCTAGAGGAATGAAACATTTATGTAAAGAAGCTAGCCTCGTGTGACCTTTTGTTATGTCCGCTGAACTCAGCTGTCTTGCGTGACAGGATAGGCCCTTCACTGAAGCAAGTCTTTATCTACACAGTCATAGTGAATAATCATTTTGATTTGAACAACTTGATTTTATCTGCAATCTTGTTCAGCAAGTTGGAATGAATACAAAACAGCTCATTTCCTCGGGCAGGATTGGATTCTTTAAAACAAACGAAATCCGCAAAACATTCAAGATGTAAAGGTGAAATGAGGTGAAATGGGGTTTAACGCTGTGTTCAAGATTACATTGAAGCGACTTGCATGTGTGTGTGACGGCTTGTACTAGTCCGGACTAATACCAGATTTATAGTGCTAGCCCACTGAGATACCATGCCGCAGTTTAACATGGATACTCACTCACACACAATATACTGACTCTGAGCCTACCAGTCCTTGTTTCACCCTCTGAATGGTGAGTGCCAGGCAGGGAAAAGCAAGTACCATCTTTCACCGCTTTTGGTATGATGCGTCAGGGATCAAACCACTGACCTTCTGCTCCCAGGCAGGCACTCTACCCGCAAGACCACGAAGTGATCAACAAGATGAAAAGCACACAAGAGCAATGGTTGTGTGTTGCAAGCATGGTCAGCCTACAAAAATTCATTTTCAACTTGTTCAGTTTGTAAACAGTAACAACCAGTGTCTTGAGGGTAGAATTACAGCTAACCAGTATCTCAGGCAGAGACATGAGTGATGTCATTTGATTGCCGTGTCAGTTTTGGATGATAAATTCTTAAAAACAAACATAATCCACAAAAAATACAAGATGTGCACTAGGGCTGGGACGATACACCAACTGATACCTTCCACGGTACCTTATTCACGAAACGATATGTATCACGATAATTGCATGTGCTCTTAGCATAAACCCTATTTTTCAAAGATGTGAGTGAGTGAGTGAGTGAGTGAGTGAGTGAGTGAGTGAGTGAGTGAGTGAGTGAGTGAGTGAGTATGGTTTTACGCTGCTTTTAGCAATATTCCAGCAAAATCACGGCGGGCGACACCAGAAATGGGCTTCACACATTGTACCCATGTCGGGAAATGAACCTGGGTCTTCGACTTGACAAGCGAACGCTTCAACCACTAGGCTACCCGACCGCCCCCATAGATAGGATGGCCGAATACCTGGCACACAGACAACTTACAGTTGGCAGAGTCAAGTATGGCGCAATGGATGGAAAAATTTACGTTTCCAATATTATTTTTCGCTACTAATTAGGGTTTGGTGTAACAGTTATATCAGAAAACAATTAAGGTATGTATTGTTATTTTATACTTAGTGTGCCACTGTGATTGATACTTGTATCGAGGTGCAAAAAATCGTGATCCACCGATGCAAAGGTAGTCCTGCACATTGACCGTGGAATATATTTATTTTATGAAAAAATAATAATCTAGAAATGCATACAAAAGCAAGTCTAGCCAGCTCAAGCTAGCTCTATAGGGAATTTTTTTATTTTTAGAGTCAAGAAGGATATTGTGTAATATAAGATTTCAGAGACTAAATGTTAGTCTAAGGTGTAGAGAGCAATTGGTGCAAGGCAGCAAGGTCAGCCTACCTGGCGTGTGGCATCATCTTGAGGGCGAGGCCCTTACTGATACAGAACCCAGCCCCTCCGGTTGCAAACCAGTATGCCAGTTTTTGCTGAAATATAACCAATTCAGATAAGACATGTGAATCATCTTTAACATAGACAATACTTGTATCAACCCTCCTCACACTGGACAGGGGCACCCTGTTTATCTGGACACCTCCAAGTAACAGCATCTGCATTAATTAACTCCCAGTGACCTGTTCCACAAAGTGATCAAAGTGCCACAACTGTCGTAAGTCTATATTGAAGTACTAGAGTTAGGATAGTCGTAGCGCTACGATCGCTTTGTGAGATGATACCCAGATTGACAAATTAATGGGGTACATAGTAATAGCCATTGAGTAAAAGTTTTCAAGTAAGTTGCTGGGAAAATAGGGTTTCACTGTGGTAGAATTAATACCATTGAAACAAAGATAAATTAGACAAATTACCACATTCAACTCACTGTATCTAATAGTATTGATATTGATCAAACTGAATCATGGAATATCCTCAGTATTGGACAGGTTAATCAAGTGAAAGAAGTTGCTTCAATGTTCAAAGTGTTTCCACACAGTGAGGTTAAGTAAGCTAGCTCCTAACACCATCACCTACTCAGTCAATAACCAATCAAATATATCTAACAAGTTTCCCCACCAAAAAATACAATAAAAGCAATCTTATCAAACTTGAAAAATTAGATTAAAAAGAATTCTGTCAAATGTCACGAGAAGACTTTCCTCCTTTTTTGCCCAGACATTATCACGAACAGCATATCAATTGCACTAAATTTGAAAATACAAATTAAAGAAAGGGTTTGAGAGATTGATTTCCATGATGGAGGCTAGCTGTGGCTTGCCAGCGGAGTGTAGTGGGCTCCCATATGAAGCAGGCAGCAGACACGGTGTTATCAAGAGGGAAGCAGGGTGGAGCTGGCCTTATTCAGGGCCAGGTCTTATTTATCAACACACTTCTATATTGACAGGGAAATATTGGTAACTGGACCACTCAACAAGAAGCCTGGCCCTCCTATCTTATCGTGACACGCCACAAGTGTAAACCCGTCCATGGCCTCAGAGTCAGCTTCTGTGTGTCTAATCTTCTTGCACTCACATCAAGACATCATCTACAAAACTCGCCTTCCACAAGTGTTCGTTTCATGAGATTGCATGCCCATCAAAGATTAATACTATCATTACCATGGAAATATTTACAAAATTTGTCACTTTAAGATGAAGTAACTATGATAAAGATTAGTCAAGAAGGTTGAACACGTTGCTATGCCAAAGTCATGTATATGCTTTAAAAATAAGTTTTAATTCCTCTTCAAAACGTTTTTCACGTTTAATTTAGAGAGTCTTAAGCAAAATGAAAAAAATCAGCAGAAAAGTTGGGATATTGGGATTATGGCAGTGTGTAGGTCGATGTGGGCTCAGAAAGGGTCCGATGTGTCTGGGATTGATGCCATGAATCTCTGGAGGTCAGAAACTGAATCTCCGATAACTCGACCTCAACAATCAATCAAGCTTGTTTGTTTCTTGGTTTGACATTTCCATCCAAAAAAGAATCCTACCTCAGCATGGACAGAATCTCAATAGATTCAATGATTTCAAAAACTTTACCAGCTATTTTCAACAGCTGAAGAAAGACTGACATTTCAAGAATCTAAAGCTGACACATTGTCTATTTCTGTCTTTCATGATAATCAGCACAAAATCTATTTTATTGACTCGACCGGTTGGCTGTCTATACCATCCCAAATCCTTGAGATCTTATTGATGCAACCATACCCAATCAGTGCTGATCCCGAGGGCAACCACCGATTAAATTCATGCAGACCCTCCAGAGTAGGCATCATATTGGATGTTCATGCACATTTGCAACACAAAATAGGTCTGTCGCTGTACACTGCACACACGACTTTATGAATATATGCATGGCAAGTCAATTTGCATATATAAGGGAAACGATTTTAGCAAAGGGGTTAACATGTTTAAGCGTTCCTGCATGCATAACACCACATCTGTTGAAGAAACACTTTACATAGAATCTATACTTGATGCACCACCCTTAAAGATGATCAAAATAACCTGTTTCACATTATTCTTTCATTAGTAGTCAGACAGTGTTGTTTTATACTTCATGAAGTATTCCAGCTATATTATGTATGATTTAAACAGTGTATTTGAATTGTTTGATAGACAACTTAGAAGTTGACGGATGACAAAGTAGAGGCAATTTATGGATAACAACTTCTCTATTTACTGTAAAGGCGACCTTTCGTTATAGATCCCATCCCATCGCCTACTAGGAACTCATTAAGCAATAATCACACCACCTATGTACACTTAATCCTGTTTAATTGGCTGCCTCATCATGTCGTCACAGTATTATCCTTTGTCGTCTTACTACTTATGTTAATCTCTCTCTTGTATGCAATTGTTGCTACTGTTAATCCTCCACCTACTATATATATTCTGTACCATATTCATTATTCAGCCTTGCTTGACAACGGTATAAGGATCTATACAGAAACTTTGCCTTTACAGTAAATAAAGAAGTTGTTATCCATAAATTGTGTCTAATTTGTGAGTGTATGTACATCTTCAAGAAAATTAACAGAGGATTATTTGCAAATGCCTCTCTTCTTTAAAAATATCATCTTTCATGTGAAATCAAGTTTACTACTACAAAATTCAAAGCATCTAAATTATTTGGGGCGACAACCCTGCTGTATGACATGCGGATAGGTGAGGTGAAATGGGGTAAAAAAATCGCATCCCAGATTATTGCACTAATATAGCGACACACACATGCGTGTGTGCGTATGTTTGTGTGCTTGTACTAATGCAGACTGATGCTGATTTATAGTGCTAGCACACTGAGATAACATGTCGCACTTTAACATGAACACCCCACTCAGACACAGTATACAGACTACAGAGCTGACCACTCCTTCTTTAAGCCCCTAAATGATGAGCGCCAGACAGGGTAACAACAAGTACCATCTTTTGACGTCTTTTGGTATGAAGCGGTCGGGGATCGTTTTAGACTTGTGTTTGTTGGTTGGTTTGTTGTTTAACGCCACACTATATTCCAGCTATATGACGGTGGCCTGTAAATAATTGAGTCTGGACAAGATTGAAATCCTGAGCATCTATCCACGCAATTGGGATTTTAGACTTGTGAGTGAGTGAGTGAGGTTTTACGCCGCTTTTAGCAATATTCCAGCAATATCACGGCAGGGAACGCCAAAAGGTGGCTTCCAATTGTACCCATGTCGGGAATCGAAATCGGGTCTTCGGCGTGACAAGCGAACACTTTAACTACTAGAGCTACCTGACCACCCCTTTAGACTTTTGACATGATAAAATACATGACAATGGTAAAAGTGAGTGAAAAAACCTGATTTGTCATACTAGAGGGATTTTCTTCTGCTTGCCATGCAAAAGGTTAATGGTCCTTAAAAAACAAGAAGACTTTCAAATTCCAATCTTTAATATGCCATAAATACCTTCAGTTAGAATATGTTATAGATCAGGTGAACTCAGAAGTTGAAAACATTATCACATTACGAGAAACACTCGAAAGGTTGTGGCAAACGTCAAGCTCATCGATTTGACAGGTGGAATCGAGAGGACAATAGATGTTTTACATGACTCAATAAACTACCTGCAAGCATTAATTTTTATCCCTGTATGAATGTTTTACCACGTTTGTACTGATTTTATCTTCATCTCTTAAGAGAATAAGCTTGGGGCAAAGACTTGCTCATGTTGAAATATCAATAAAAGGCTTGCTTAAAACCTCTAAAACAATCTGTTTGACACATTTAAGCCTTACCTATGCATGTAGTGTGGTTGTAGCAAACATGAAACGGGAATATTGATAATTGGACCTCATACCATATCATAAAAGTACTAAATATTTTCCTATATTATATATTTTTATCTAATTGTTCCACAATGTTATACAACATGGGAAGAAGGAAGATTGGAGTGAAGGAGGGAGGAGCATATTTCAGGCAAGGCTGGATTGGAATATCAACAATTTCATAAAAAAAATTAAAATAGTGACTTTTTCTTTTTTGGTTTAAATGTAATTTCATGATAAGGTTTGCAGTGCGATGAAGCACTAACATCCACACAGATGGAGCCTGAAGCATTGAGATTCCAGGAATACCAGGCCTGTAAATAATTAAGTTTGTGTCCGGTCAAACTAGTGGCTAAAAGCATGAGCAATGATCATACAGTCAGGGCCCACTTATACATTATCATCTTGAACACACAATGGCATCATGTGACCCACAACAAACTTGCAGTATACAATACTTGTTGGGGTATCAGCTATCTCTTCTGACACACACACACACACACACACACACACACACACAACACACACACTGACATCATGTGACCCACAACAAACTTGCAGTATTCAATACTTGTTGGGGCATCAGCTATCTCTTCTCTCTCACACACACACACACACACGCACGCACGCACGCACGCACGCACGCACGCACGACGCACGCACGCACGCACGCACGCACGCACACACACACACACATCATGTGACCCACAACAAACTTGCAGTATTCAATACTTGCTGGGGTATCAGCTATCTCTTCACGCACACATGCACCACACAATGATGCAGCCATGATAACATCTATCATCTGTTGAAAAGCAAATGTGTAAACAATGTTTCTGAAGTAATGATCCACATAGAATATTCATGAAACTTGAAGTATTCTGGCAAAACATCTCGCATAGTTTCATCTTTTTGAATATTTTCACTTTGATCTCTTAAAAACCCCACAGCACTAGCCCCATCAACCGACAATCTAAACCTACAATGGCCAACAGCTCACTGACATAAAAATGCAATCCAAATAAAACAGTCACAAAGCCATGATAGCTGACACACGAATTGGATGAAAATGCTTAGAAAAGAAAAATCCATTGATTTCAGGAGGGTAACCAAACAAATTCTCATGGAAACTGTTTGTTTTATTCAAATCAGCTTGCACTTTGAAACCCTTGCAAAACTGTCCATTTTCACCAGTTAT